CTGAAGATTTTTTCCTGTTATTTAGGAATCGAAGCACATTGCCATGCTCCAGCCGAAAGCTTAAAGCATTATTTGTTATCAAGGAACAGCAAGGAGCTTATTGAGGAATATTTCAACAGAACATATGGTAATTTAATATTTGCATCCCCTTTGGAAAGCAGAAAATAAGTAACATAACAAAAGGGTTGCAACTAAAAATAACAATTTTTAAAAGCTATCAGATGCTGCCGGAAGAGAGGAGGAGGTGAAAAAAATGACAATATTACAACACTTGCTAAAATTTGCTGAACAAAATGACAGTTTCTGAATATTGACCACCTACATGGTGACTTACACCTGACAAAAAGCATTTGCGTGTGTTTCTAAGACAATTTCATTAACTATTTCAGTAGTAAGGAGCAATCCCTGAAGTTTACCTCCTGCTTCATACCTTAATTCTCTCTATTCTACTGCAATTGTTTGCCTAGATTTTTTTCCACATATCTGTCAACCTGTGTTATTTTAAACTGATTTCCATTTTGCAGTGCAAAGTATACAGCTGAGATCGAAGGATGGGAAACAGATTTTAAGGAAATTAGCACAGCTTTCAATTTATACCTCTGAAAGCCTCATTTTTGCATTATGTTCTCCAATTATTTCCGTATCACGAAGTCATTTTTTCTCATTAAAAATAATTCTCTGTTCCCAAGCAAACAGCTTAACAAACAGCATCTCAGCATATTAAATTTTAAACGACCACTGGAATAATAAGGCTTATTTCATTCGATGGAATTACCTGAGTTATTTTCGAGAAACCTTGGAGAATATTATTTGCTCTAAATAGTTAAAGACATCGGTAAAGTCAGAGTGTTTCAAACTGAAATCACAGCAGTAGGCAGATCAAACTAGGCACTGGCTGACACTCATCTTCTCCAGTTTAACAACATCCATGCTTGTCCAGCATAAAGAATCAGAGAGTTCTGTACTTAAAGCCATGTAAAAGATCGCTGAGAGGCTTTAGGTAGCGCACAAATGGCTTTTATGTTCCTGGAAGCAGACAGGCTGCAGAAGTGACCTGTCGTTGCCTAGATAAAACAAAAGCAACAGCAACCAAGCCCTGCCCCTTGGCCGGCAGCCTGGTGCTCGAGCCACGCACAAGCCTCGAGGAACACATTTGCAGCTCCCGCATCGTGGCCACATCACGTTCCTGACAGCACGCTACGCCAGCACGGCTCGCTGAAAAGCCCCACTGGTGGAATCCAAACCCAAAGAGGTCACTGAGGGAATCATCCCGTCCCCTGCTGCTCTGCAAAGGAACAGCGCTGCTGAGGCCACTTCCATCTGGCTGACCCGCTCCGCGTCCAAGGCTGCTGCCGCCCTCCTGCCAAGAGGCTGGGCGCACATCTGCTGGCAGATCTGCGTGGTGGAGCACAGATGCTAAGCCACAATTCTCTCCTCTCATCGCCACATCCACTCAGCGTTGTAGAACCAGCTCTTTAGAGAGGGAAAATGAACGTGGAGCAGGCTGTGGGAACGAGACACGCACCTGGCCCTGACCCCGTCCCACATACTGTGAGATACCCAGCTTGGCGCTGCCTTTTCGCAGGCAGAGACGCTTAAAACTGGAAGATTACAGGATTATTACAGGATTAGAAAGTTCCCCTTTCCCTTTGCAAAGTTACTTCGCTGTAGCTTTTGAAGGTTTTGCCCTGGAGAGCTATTCAGCCTGAGCACAGGAGATGCCCAGGACAGCACCTGCACTGACACACGGGCTTGCCAGGACCCTGAAAAGCACCCCAAAGATTTCACTTCACTCTGCAGATCTTTGACGTCTGGCTCAAGCTCAGAGAAAACTTGTGCACGAATACTTCATTCTTCTGTATTCGTCTTATCTCAAGCAGAAACTTGATAACAAAAGGGAATAAATAACATTTCCTATTTTTTCCTACCACGTGCACTACTGGTCTATATACTTGAAAAAAAATCTGGTCTAGCACTTCTGGTGGAAGAAGCCGATGCTTTTACAGGCTCCTACTATCAAAAAGCACCATGGCCAACAAAAGATCTACAATAAAACAGGTAACCTGCTCACTCAGAAGTCTAGCAGATTTCCCTTCTGCAACCACTTAAAAAAGGAAACATCCAAGCTCCCAAAACAGACCTTAGCACTGCTTTAAAACACAGTGATAACGCTATCACATTTTCAAATTCTTACCAAAAATATTTATGAAAATAATGTGAAGAGCATCATGTAAGTAGAAAAACACAGGTCTTCTTCTGAAATACTTTCATCACTACGGTCTGACCCTGTTTTGCCATTCCCCCTCCCTCCTCCGGAGGAAAAGGTAATTTCAGCATTAAACGTGCAAGAGTATCTATCAGTGGGCTCTTAGAGCTAAGGTGACACACGTAGCAGATGTGTTTATAAGGAACAGGGAAGCAAGTGGTGGTTTTCTTTACAGTTTCTATGAATTCACACCATGGGAAAGCAGATGTGCATTTTTTTTTCAGCATGAGATAAGGATGCTCAAATTTTCAGAGGAAACCTTGACCATAACTTATTTTTCCCTTAAGTAGTTTGGGTTTCTTCCCTTTAAGTCAAGTTTTTTTTACAAACAGGAACCGAGATAAAGGAGTTTTGTCCAACATACAATGTCATCAATTATTTTATTTGAAGTCCCAAATGCAAAGGATTTTATCGAGTTAATCTTTTTGTGCATGCCCGCTTACTGTCTTCTCATGCAGTCTAACAAGCGGCGAGCAGAACTAAGCGCTTAACAGTAGCTTTGAAAAAAGCTAGAACTGCAAGGAAACAAGTGTTTGACGTGACTTTTAAAGACATTTTATTATTTTTATTTTTACTTGAAGAAAAGAGTATGATTTAGCTTTTAATGAATATGTAAAAACCAGAAAACAAATAGAATTACTTCAGTAGATAACAACTATCAGGTTCCAAACTAGAGGAAATCAAATCTGTGGGAAAAAAATTTATTGGCAAGGTTTGGCATACACAGACATTTTGTCGTTCTAATCATTTGATTCATATTGTCTCCTCCTACAAGTGGCTCCTGCTGTTCTGCTCAACTCACAGAAACAGTTTCTGTAGATCTCTAGGGCAAGAGCTTCTGTGCACAAAGAAATGCCCATCTCCTCCTTCTAAAAGGAATGTAATCAGAGAGCTTTTAATTTGCTTGCTAAGGAGCATCATAGGGATTTCAATGGAAGCCATTCTTCAGTGAAAGATACGAGTGAAACATACAAGTTCTAAAAAAATAAAGGACGTGCATTCTTCCTGCACAAACGATGCTTTACAAGTTCAGGGCAAAGCTGAAGACCAGAGATGAGGTGAAACCCTTGCAAATGTGAGCGTGTTACTGTAATTAATGTGAGTCTGAATCCCCCAGCTGAGGACCACTCTGCAAACTCAGGGTAAACCTGAAGTAGCTCTCCCCGCTACAAGGAGGTGCGAGCTCATCTTTCCTCACCTCATCTGTAGAAAACCACGTAAAACGTGTATGTTGTCCTGTGCTAAAAACAGCCCAGGCAGGAAACACAAGGCCTCCTGCAGCTCTCTCAGCAGAGCACGTGCTGACGGAGCCCTGTCAGCTATGAACGTTGGCAGTCGGCGCTCGCCGCGTTCCTGCTGTACTCCCAACGCACCCCACTACTCGTTTAAGCCTTAAAACCCGTTCTATAACCACACGATTAATACATGGCTTAATAATTAAGGCTCTAAAGCCAGTTTCTGTTACGAGAAAAAAATATAAGCTAAAAACAAAGATAGAAGTTACAAAATATTTTCATCCTCTAAAGCAGATGGAATATTAACGCTTCCAGAATCCAAACACCATCTTTCGCTCTGTTTGATAAATTAGCTAGACGTTCTTCCTAACATCTTCTCATGCATTACTGAAAACTGAACTGCTGCCAAGAAGCCATTTAATGTATGGAGCAAGGCTCTTCCAGCTCCAGGATCACGTACTCGTTATTCTGGTCAATTTTTACGGACAACCATTTCACAGGTACACTAATATTTCCTAACCTAGTAAATCCATTGCTTCAAGAGGCACCATTACAATGTTATTAAGACAGGTTTTTTTATGTTTGTTTATTTTAAAATCTTGTTCTAAGCACTCAAAATCCTACAAACACATTTTATCTTTGCTTCTTGACAGGCTGAAGCCAAAAGGGTACTGCAGCTCAAGTAACCTCACGCAAAAGGCAAAAATATATATATATTTATCATTTTACCATAAATTACCCCATTATCATTTTACTGCAATTGAGAGCTGCTCCAGCTGAAGCACTCAGTTGCTAAAGCCCTTCCACACTTGTTTCCTTTTGGAAAAAAAAATTCTTCCCTCGAGAACTCTAAAAATAAACTGATAGTGAAATATACCCACAGCAGGATAAAATTACTATATTTGGTAGCGTGCACAATTTCCCACGGTACGGGGAATTTAAAAAAATAAATAAATAAACGAAAAGAAGAACCACTTGAAGACAGGGAGGGATGAGAGCTGTGATGGGGGCTGCTCTACCACACCTAGCACCATCAGGGCAGAAAACCCCAGCCCGGGCAGGACCGTGACAAACCCTTTCCTCTGACAGGGGCAGGGCACGGCAGCCCCTGCAGCAGCCCCCCCTGAGGGGAAAACAGAGGCAGGGGCTGGGGCTGCCCCTTCCCTCCCCCGTCCCCCTGAGGGCCGGGGGCGCACCCCGGGGTGGGGAGAGGCCTCGGCCGGGCCCCCCGGGGAGAAGCAGCCGGAGGAGGGCCCGCGGAGCCCCAGCACGGAGCCGGGACCGTCCCGCTGCCCGGCTGAGGAGGAGGAGGAGGCCGCGGCCTCCCCCACACGCCCCCCCCGGGGCCTCGGCCCCTCCCCGGAGCCGCCGCCCCGCGGGCCGGGTGCTGGCTTGGCCCCGTGAGGAGGCGGCGGAGGGGAGCCGGAGCCCCTCGGGCCCGCCGGGAGGCCCCCCAGGAGCTCGGCCCCAGCCGGCCGGCGGCGGGGCGCCGCGGTTACCGTGTGCGGGGCCCAATTCTCGTGGTGTTTGTCGGGCGGCTGCGATAATGGCGTCCTTCCTCGCGAGACGGCTCCGGCTCCGCAGCGCGCAGGCTCCGAGGCGCCGAGCCCGCTCGGCCCCCGCCCGCCCCGGCCGCCCGCGCCTGCGTGCCGACCGACGGGGCTCGCAGCCGCCCCTCCGCCGCCGAGCCCGCCGCGCCGGACTACAAGTCCCAGGGGGCTCAGCGGCCGCTCCTCGCTGCCGGCCCCGCCGGGCAGGCCGGGAGCTGTAGTACGCGCGGCTGCGGCGGGGCGTGCTGGGAATTGGAGTCCGCAAAGCGGCAGGCCCGCAAGGCACACGGGCACGCTTCACACGCCTTTTTTGCACCTTACACGTAGCCTTACTCACACTTTACCCACTAGTTATTCAGCCCTTACGTGTTGCTCACACCTTACTCGCACTTTACCCACTCGTTACTCAGACCTTACATGTTGCTTGCACCTTATGCACTCCTTACACACTCCTTACTCACAATTTACCCACTCGTTACTCAGTCTTTACATGTTGCTCACACCTTAGTTGCACCTTACTCACACTTTACCCACTTGTTACTCGGACCTTACGTGTTGCTTGCACCTTACACACTCCTTACACGCTCCTTACTCACACTTTACCCATTTATTACTCAGATCTTACGTGTTACTCGCTCCTTGCTCACACCTTACACACACCTTACACACTTCACATCTCACACTCCTCACACACCACATGACCCTCATGCCCCTCACACCTCACGCACCATATACCCCTCACACTCCTCACGCACCTCATGCACCTCACACAACTCACGCTCCATATACCCCTCACGCTCCTCACACCCCTAACACACCTCATATACCTCTCACACCGTATACCCCTCACACTCCTCACACACCATATACCCCTCACGCACCTCACGCACCATATACCCCTCACGTACCTCACACACATACACCACACACAATGCCCTCCCTCTCTCCCCAGTGTCCTGCTCCCCAGACACACGCCCGGCCCTGACACAGCCTCGAGGGCTCCCCAAAACCTCCTGCGCTGACTGGGACACCACCTCCGGTACAGGCTCCGCCAGGATGTCTGACAGCACAGCAAAATAAACGTTTTGTGTGGCAGTGCCCCCAGCCCATGGTCACATACTGCTGGGCACAGCACTGAAAATCCTTCTCTGGCGGTGTCTCAGGGCTGTTGCAAACTCCAGTGTCACCTCTCTGCTTTATTATGTGTTTCCAGGCCTGCCAAGCAAAGTAGCTGCAGCATTTGGCTGGTGCAATTGTCAGCAAGCAGCTTAAATACGTATCTGCGCCTCAAGAGCCTCCCGCAGGGAGCTGTTCATGCACTGACACACTGCCTTTCCCTACGCCTTTCGCTGGTCCTTCCACTAAATCCCTCCCTGCTTAAACAGATCCTGAGCAGATGATGGGATGATCTGAATGTGAGCTGTCACATTAGGGAGAAAAATGTCACCACGCTCAGAACACTGCTGAGGAATTTGGAAGTGGGAATTTGCTAAATTAGCTCGGCAGTCTGATTTTTCTGTTGCCTCATTCCTGCATTTGCTATGAGAACAGAATGACTGGGCAAAGGTGGAAAACCTTCTGTTAACCTTATGGAAATGACAAAAATATGCAAAAAGCATGAAAGCAAGCACGGAGGAGGAATGCAAGGAGCTCTTAAAGAAGATAAAAAATAGATTACTCTTTCCTTATATACCACAGAGATGCCCAAACAAGACCATCACTAGATGTCATTTTTCAGCCTCTGCATGACCAGCAGTGACTTTCAGACTTTCACATTAAAATGTTCCTCATTGAGAAGCTTAATTCAGCTCTGCAGTGTCACGGTATGCGATTGAATCCATTCTGGTTCTGCAGTAACTGGCTGTGCCAACATCTACAGACCTACAGTTTGGAGTTGATGCCGTAGCTGTTGGGTTAGTGAGCTGAAGTGCTGTTCTTGAGCATTGTAGATTTATTGTGTTTAAACTCAAGTTGTCCACTGCAGGACTTTTTTACATGTGTAAACGGTGCAAGCCACAAAAGCACTGGTTTCTCAAGTGCTTCAGACCCCAGGGAACAAGCAATTCCTTCTGCTCATCTGTCCAGGAGCTATGGGGAGAATCAGAGAACAGAACATCTTTGAAGCAGGGAAATTTGTCCTGACACAGGCATGTGCCCTGTGCCTTTCTTAGAAAGACATAGGAGAAACTGCTTAAACTGGTGCTTTCCGGTATTAACGAATTATCACAAGCCTAAAAATTAAGAATTGGTACTTTAAGGAAAACCCTTGCCTCTGCTTCCAGATTTGCAAATGTTCAACTGAGTCCATAAATTTATTTAGTGTGTTCTCCTCTTTCACAAGCAGATTAGGAAGTTCAAAGGTTAAACTACTTTTAAAGTGACTTTTCACATAGAATTATTTCATGCTTTGCTGCACAGATTTGCCCTGTAGCACATTTGGCAAACTCAAGCAATTTCCAGGTCCCAGCTAGAAAAACAACTGTAGAAATGTCAGTGAATGATCTCTGCTGTGGAAGTTTGATAGTAAAAGCTTTTGCCATCATAATCTGAATCCAGCATAAAAACTATCCTGTTTCCTCATCAATACGTTCCCTTCCAGAAATTATTAACTTACATTCTGCTAAGGATGTGTAGCTCCTCTCTGTATAGCCAGAGAGCTCGGCTAAAGTAACACAAAACAGAAAAACTTTCATTGTCATAAACCAATTATGCTATTCACCTGTAGTCATCGAAGTAACTGTAGGAAATTCTGGCAGGATCCAGCTGACATCTATATCTTTAATCACAACATAATAAAAATAAAACAGCAATGTAGCACTAAGACAGGATACAGCACTACCTCCTGCTGGTGAGTCAGGCTGTTCTGATCATTGCAGCGATCTCAAATTCCTTTACTTCTTGTAAGCATTTTGTGTTTTTTTCCCTCTTTACCAAAGATAGTGCTTTAGATTTTTTCCTCTCATTTCTTCCACAGCAGGGAGAGTTCCCTTTTAAAATGTTAAATTACACCAATAAATCATGACGAGACACTGCTATCACAGCCTTGCTCCCCTTGAGATTCCCACAGACAGGTATGACGAGCTCTTCACACAGCAAGATGTACGACAGAAACACTGATAAACAGCAGAATAAAGAGGATCTTCCTGCTTACAACCTAAGAGGGGAGACCTACTCTGTGCTTAAACTGGAAGGGCCAAGCTTGGCTTTTAGTCTTTAATTTAGTTTTTAATTTACTGTACCAACACATGAACACCTTACCTAGGGATAACCAAGCACTTCCCAAGCTTCACAAAAGCTCCTAAGCTTTATGAGCTTTCAGAAATATGCTCACCTGAGTATTTGTGCAATAATGGATTGAAATTCAGTGTAGGACCCCTTCAGTGAATGAGGGCTTCACATTGCCATGGGATAAAAGATTGCTCCTGAGCAAGCACCAGGAAGAGCCTGTATATGCTCTAAGTCATGTTCTGATTTAAACCATGTTATCTTCTTCAGCTGCCCGTGTCAAATCTACTCTTATACTCCCTTCCCCTTATAAAAACGAGTAAGAACTTTGGGAAGTAATATATCTTTTTTTTTTTTTTTTTTTTTTTTTTAATAATGGAAGAAAATACATACTGTTTACTCGTCCCAAATGAAGTAAAAAGGTATTTCTTTATTGTTTTACTTCCTCACCTTTTTCATGCTCATTTTTCAGCCTCTCTCCCTCTTGCATGTTGTATACGTGCTAAATTTTATCTGTCACATTATGAAGAATCATTTGGTTCCAGGAAATATCTAGCTTATTTTACCTTTGTATCAGCATTCATTTACTATTGTTTCCTAAGGAACTTGCTGTTTTCACATGTTTTTGTGTGGATCAAAATAAGATTAGTATCTCATTCATTGGTTTCCTTTTTTTTTTTTTTTTCCATGGCTAGGAGAAAAAACTTACCATAGCATCAAAGGTAAAAAATTAACACACTGTGCACACAATTTTGCAGCTGCATCAGCAGTAGGAAAACAAAGGTTGCCAAACAAAGCGTTTGTTTAAACAAGTGACAGGCATTCATAATTATACTCACTGCTGAGCATGAGAATATAGAAACAAAGGCATGAAGAACACAGAAGATGTGATCAGGACATAGAAGTAACTCCAGAGCATTTGCCATAGGAACTTTGTAAGAATAACTTTCCTTTCCACAGATAAATATACTATGCTATCCTTGATCACATACTATGCTATTACATATATATAAATACAAAATAAAACTCCCTTCAAAATTCCCTGTTTATTCAGTTTCTGGTTGAGTTAATTTATTACTTTTCTTTATCCTAACTTTCATAGCCGGAGAGGGATGGAAATAATGTCCTTGTGAACACAGCATGCGCTGTCTTGTGACATGGTGGTACTTAAAGTGGTGGAATGAATATAGAAAAATTTGTATACTTTAAAAAAAAATAATAATAATGCTATCTGTAAACTTGCTGTAGCATCTCTCAATTATAAATTGATAGGAAATCTCTGCTGTTGAAACCTGTTATCAATCTTCTTCATGAGAGTACACCCTTCCTCATCACTGATTCTTCAGATATCACATCCATTTTCAATTCTCTCATAATTAGTCTTTAATTTTATTTATTTATTACAGAAAGCAAGTGAGGATTATGTGTGTGTTACTCCTGAATCTACTTCTTCTAGCTCTATCACTTATGGCAAGACACAGACATTTTCTGTTCTGACTCTTATCTCTCTTTGTTTCTGCTGAGTAAACTACATTTCACTCCCTGAAGATACTCCTAATTTTCGTGAGTGAGGATAGAAGAAAAGGCTTCTTCTTTCTCGAATCAGGGAGAAAAACATTGTTCCCCATTTGGTTACCCAGTTGGTCAAAGTTCACAGTCGTGTAAGGTCATCTGTGCCAGACTGAGAAATAAGATGAGAAGGGCCAGGCATGATCTCAATGTTCTCTTATTTATTTACATACTGTTCCATCTCCCTGTATACATCATGGAAAAAAAAAAAAATGATAGGAGGCTATTCCCCTTCTCAGAAATCTGTCATCCTAACAAGCTCTGTGTTCGTACTTTGCCCATCTGTGATCTTCCCAGGATCATGCTCACAGCTGTTTCTGCTGCCCTTTTACCTCTGTTA